TGGGGTTTGTATAAGGAAAGAAGAGAAAACACAATCTATACAAAATGAATGATCAGAAAGAATGATATAAGCACAGAGTAAGGGAAAATTTAAGGAATTAGAAGAGCATGATGGAAATCTATGGCAGCAAAATCAAAATACCAGTAAGAGTGTAAGTTGTGGGTCTTATGTGATAATCTGCCCCCAAACCTGTCACTTCCTAGCTGTGTACTTCCCAGTCCAGGGCGACTTCCACAAAGGATTTCACTCTGTTTCCCTCAGAATTCAGAATTTGCTTACTCCTGCATGGGTCCCATTCTAATGGCTCTGTCAGTTTTACAGGAAAGAATTTCAGCTTGGAAACCAAATGGCCACCGTGGACGTAAACATCAGAATTGATTTTGAAACTGATTATAATGAGCTGGTTTTAGATGTAGGAAAAGTCACTCTTGGAGAGAAGAATAGGAACAGTATGAAGGACAAACAAAGGAGAAAAAGGCAGAAAGAGGCTGTCTCACGAGCCATGTGTGCTTTGCTGAATTCTGGAGGAGGAGTTATCAAGGCTGAAATCGAGAATACAGAGTATAAGTATAATGAAGATGGAATAGGAGAAGATTTGGAAATATCTTTCAGCAATATGCTGCCTCGTGTTCTAAATTACCTTGACTTCATGCAGAATGCTAACACATTTTTTATTTTTGTGAAATCATGGAGCTTGGATAGCTCTGGTCAGCAGATTGCCACGTTGAGAACTAATCTGTATAGCAAAAATATAACATCTACAACTGTCATGGATGGTACCCATGCACGGGCTTTCCTCCAAGAGAAGAAAACTGGATCCAGATTATTTTCAACACCAAAAACGAATGCAATGAAGGTCCTTACTGATGTTCATGAAGAAAGTAGTGTGGTGGACTCACCTTCAGAGTTTTTTAGCAAGACAAAACTTACATACAGAAGTAAAGTCAACTTTTCTGAATCAACACTTGTTGCTACTAAATTAGTCCCAGATTACGATGTGTTTGGAAAAAAAGAAAAAAGAAAAAGAGAAGATGTGTTGGAATTCATTAAAGAAGAGGTACCTCAGTATGTTTCTGCATTTGCAAATACTGATGGGGGATATTTGTTCTTTGGTATAGATAGCCAAACAAAAGAAGTAAGTGGCTTTGAAGTACAGCCTTGGTGTCTTTCTGAGATAGAAAAGACAATTAGGGAGCTTCCTGTCCAACATTTCTGTAAAGAGAAGAAGACGATTAATTACTCATGCAAACTCATTGAAGTCCATGATGAAGAAAGACATCGTGGCTACGTCTGTGCACTCCATGTAGACATATTTTGCTGTGCCGTATTTGTTGAGGAGCCTGATTCTTGGCATGTGAAAGGGAACCAAGTGATGCGGTTTACCACGGAGGAATGGATCAAGTGCATGGTGGATGGTGAGGCAGGTTAGGGAAGGGGGATTAGCAATGAGCATACATTTGGCCGGGGTGGTTGGGAAGGTGTGACTGGAGCAAGATCAGTATTCCTGAGATGTCAGTGCTCAATTTAACAGTCTCTAGTGGATCCCACTGGGAGTTCACCACCTCTTGTTTTCCTCTGCCCACTTAGAAGAGACATATTACAACTAGCTCCATGCTTTGGTCAGCTTTCCATCACAATGACACATTTCTGAGATAATCAACTTAGGAATGGAAATGTTTCTCTTTTTTTCTTCTAATAATTTGGCTCACAGTTTTGGAGGTTCCAAAATGTATCGGCTGCATTTCTTTTTGAAACAGCCCATTATGACAGGGAATGTGTGGTGGAAGAAAATTGCTCACTTGATGGCCAGGGAGTGAAGGTGAGGACAAAGAATGGTCAAGGGTTCTACAATTCCCATCAAGGGCAAAGGGTGTAAGGAGGAGGGATCAGGCTATCATAATCTACTTTAAGGGTCTTCTTAATTCCCACTTGAATTGCTTATTAAGCTCTGATTACAGCACTTGGGGCTCTTTATGAGACTTCTACTAGGCCCCACCTTTAGATGGCTTCACCAACTCCCAATAGCACTTACTCTGGGAAGTAATCCTTTAACACAGGAATCTTTGGGTAACAGTTCAGTACCAAACCATGATATTCTACTATAGCCACCTGAAAGGTTCATGTCCATCTTAACAAAGCAAAATGCACCCACATTTTGTACACAAATTCCAAAGAGTCCCAACGTTTTGACAGCTTTGGCATTGCTCAATAGTGTAAGTTGTGTATGCTGAGACTCAAGGCAGTTCAGCTTTAGGATGCTATAAAAATTAAGTTATAACAGTATGTTACTTCTGATTTGAAATAGTAAGTAGGAACAGGGTAAACATTCACAGTTCAAAGGGGAGGAACAGGAAAATATCAAGGAGGTTTCAGACCAAAGCAAGACTGCAACCCAGCAGGGCATACACTAAATCCTACAGTTCCATGTTTGGCATCTGGGCACACTGCCCCTGTGACTGTGCTGGTTGCAGGCTACCTGCTCACTCTCTTGGGGTGGTATTGTATGCTGGGTGCTGCTTCTTTTGTCAGACATTGGTCAGTGCTGGTATCTCTTCCTCCTTGGGATCTACACTGCAGCCATGCCTTCACAATTCCCAGAGAAAGAGTTCCTTAGGCTGTCCTGGGTCACAGGGTGCCCTGGGACTGTTTTCTCAGTCAGTCATAGAGATGTCACCTTCCTGGTAGTTTATTCTATTTTCTTTGTATTTGTTGACGTGACTGTTCAAAACCCCCTTGCAGAAGCCAGCTCTGTCTTGATGTGTGTCATCGAAACACATTCTGTGTTTATCAAAATACTTTGATGTTTTTGCCATTAATTCTGTCAAATTCGTAATCCTCAGAATTTGAGTAGACTTTTATTGATGAAATAGGCGCTCCTGTACATGAAAGTAAGAGCAAACTAATTCAGTTTAGTTGAAGCAAATTATGTTGTCTATATATGTCCCTGGGTAGCCTAGATTGAGATGTAGCTCCCAATGTGGCTGTATTCAGTCACTGAAAAATCACAACAGTCCCCTACATCTCTCATTACCTTTTTTTGTTGTTGATGATGGGTAACTGACTTATTTCCTGGGTTCTGCCTTAAAAAACAGTGTCATCTTGAATATTCATGTGTAGTCTGGGGCATGGGTGAAAGTTTCTCTTGGGAGCACACTTAGTAGTGGAATTGCTGGTTCAGGAGGTGTGAGAATATTCAAGTAATAGGAAAATGCTGATATTTTTTTCAGATTAGACAGGTCATTTTACTCCCATCAGGAATATATTAGAAATTCCACATTTCCTCCAATTGTCAGACTTCTCTTCATTTTTCTGCCTCTCTTCTCGTCTTTGTCTGTTCCATCAAATGGGTACAAGATAGTATCTTTGTGGCATGAGCTTTCCTGTTTATTAATTTGGTTGATCATATCTTAATGTATTTATTGGTTCAAAGTACTTTACCTTTTATGCAGTGCCTGTTCTGTCTTTTGTCTATATTCCAATTAGACTTTGTCTTTTTCTTTTTGCTTTGTTAGAATACCTTACAGACTGTAGAATCAATCACCTTGTCGTCACAGGTGTTACAGATTGTGGATATCTTCTCCAAGTTTCTGCTTGGCATTTTCTCTTTTCTTAAGGCCTATTCTGATAAGTAGTAGTTTGAAATTTTAAGAGAGTCAAACTTACCAGTTAAAAATTTGAAGTTTGGTGCTCTTTGTGCCTTATGTGAGAGATGCTCCTCTACTCTAAGGTACTATAATGTTTCCTTTCATTGTTTTCTGGACACTTTAGTTTTGCTCTGAGCCTTTTAATTTTAAATATTTAATTCATTTCAGTAGACACTGACTCGGAGTGTTATTTCCTCTTGTTCCATGTGAAGAGCCATTTTCCCACCCTCACCACTGATCTGCCCAACCATCTCTAGTGTATTTCTGCATACATCTATGGGTAGCTGTGGTTGTAGAATTTCTTTTATGTTTGGTCAGTGTGTTTCTTCCTACAGAATTGTGATGTTAAACTGAATATAAATATCGGAAAGAGTAAGTCTTCTTTTTCTCTTTCTTTGAAAATATATGGACAGTTTTAGTCCTTTAACCTTTCATAAATTTTAGAATCTACTTGAGCACCTTAGAAATGCCTTTCTGGATGTTTATTGCAGTTACATTAAATATATAGATAAATTTAGGAATGAATGACACATTTCTATCAACTGGTCTTTTTATCCTTGAACATAGGAAATCTGTTCATGTATTTCTATCTTTTTAAAAAAATTCATTGTACATGCTTTATCAAAACGATACTTGTATTTACAGTTTCTGCAAAAAGAGTCCCTTGCAAGTTACCCTCACACACCCAGACACACCCACACAGACATCCACACCATGACCCTGCTCCCACACTAGTGAGATGTGAGGGTCAGACTCCTGAAATTAGGCCGCTGTTGGGGGATAAGAGTTGTTGATTTGTTTTTTTGTTTGTTTGTTTTTTTTTGAAAGAGTAAAGCATGGGAAGAATGTATTTGGCCATGACATTGCTAACTAAGTTTGGGTATATTAACATATATGTCAGTTAACACTGACTATTCCTTTTGCATTCTATATACACAGAATGACATCAAGGTTTTGTGATCAACAGAATATTCCAACTTCAGTCTCAATGCTGCTTGTAGTGACTTCTGAATTCATGTGAAGGCTTACCCTAATAATAATTCAAGTCTATGGACATGAAATAAGGCACAATAAATATTGATTTGACCTAGAGGAAGGAAGGAAAGGAATAAAACTGGTTTCAAATGATCTCAATTGGGAAACTGCTTTGACTTGAACTCACTTAAATCCATTCTAAGTTCCTAAGATTTCTTAGAAATGTTTTTTTTTCTTTTCCCTGACAGAGCCCCCAAAAGAAAAGTTTGGGAATTCACATGTTTCAGTAGCCTAAACTACTCAACTCATGTGTAACAACCTCCTCCCCTGCTCAGGTCTCCTCCTTCCTCAGTGCTCAAAAACACCGAGTAGCAAATACACATCTGGTTGTCTTTGATATCTTAAAAAAGGGGGAGGGGAAGGAAGGGAGAGTAGGAAAGAAGGGAAGATGAGAAGAAGGGAGGAAGGGAGGAAGGGGGGAAGAGAGGAAGATAAAAGAGAAAGGGAAAAAGCTAAAAGTAACCTCATGACTTTCTTGCAGTTTAAGAAATCCCTGTTCCCTCCTTTTCAGGACGATGAAGCCACCCCAGACATTACAAACAACTGCAACAAATGAGTCTGGCAGCATAAAAAATGTCTAGTGTTCAAGTCTTCATAGTGAGACCCATACATCTTGTACACAATATGTCGAATGTTTGTTGCAGCAGGTGAATCAAACCCAAAGACACTGGACAGTCTGTGAAAGGGAGCAAGAATTGCAGTTCTGAAGGCCCCTGACTTTGGTTGTTTACAGAGTTCAATCCTGTTTATTGTGCTCCTTGGTACCTTCTTCATCTGCATATCCTGAAGGTTCTTCCCCTGGTTTTAGGAATCTGCCTACATATTCATATTCTTCTTTAAACTGCATTTCCCATTCTCGAACACTCTCCATTTGCGCTGCATTCAAGTCTGAGAGATCCTCATATTCATCTCTAAGTGCATCCTTATCTAGGCAAAATATTGCCAGTCTTCTGGAGGCATCCCTACCAGCAAATATTCCATATGCACCCGCGGGGCCCTACAACTTGCGGCATTTGGTCACAGCGAAGACTTTCCCATTGACCTCAAGCAGGAGGCGCAGCTTGTGCAACTCGACCGACCTACTGGTGAAGCTACTTGAGGCTGAAGTCCCACATCTCCATGCTCTGCAGGGAGGGGACCAGGCTCTCCTTCCCCGCCCTGGCCCCTCCTCCCGCCCCATTCTTGAACACTCAGGGTCACTTGGCCACTGAGCCACATCCCCAGCCCTATTTTGTATTTTATTTAGAGTCAGGGTCTCACTGAGTTGCTAAGCAACTTGCCTTTGCTGAGGCTGGCTTTGAACTTGCGATCCTCCTGCCTCAGCCTCTGGAATCCCTGGGATTACAGGCGTGGGCCGTTGTGCCCAGTGGTATTTGTTCTTTTTAAAATATTTCTTGCTGAGCTTCTTGTGTTTGTGACTGGTGTCCTTCATCAATTTCAAGAAAATCATTGCTGTTTATCTCTTCAGATCATGCTTTTGTCTTTTTCTCTCCTCTTGTGACTTACGCTGTGTTAGACCTTTGGAGTACCTCTGACATGGCTCCTGTGTTCTGATTTTCCATTCTTTTTCTTTGTGTGGGTTGGAACTGTTTGCTACCTTGTATCATGACAATTAATCTTGGTTTCTGCTGTTGGTCTGCTATCACATGTAGTAACAAGGCCCTTAATATCAGATACTGCCTTTTAGAGTGATAAGATGTTGACATGACTTTTATCTATTGATTTCAAATTTATGAGTCTGTTGGAGAATCAGGAAATTTTTGTCTTTTCATTTCTTCTTCATTTGGGGGTATATTTTAATTACAGTTGGCACTCAGCAGTCTTTTCCTTTTCTCATGGTTGCTTTATTGTTTGTTTGTTTGTTTTTCAAATTGTCCGGCTTTATCATGTTTCCTAATTTCCTATTATATCAGGGATTATGAATTAGGGAAATTTTGAAAGATGTTCTAGGGCTGGGGATGTGGCTCAAGCGGTAACGCGCTCGCCTGGCATGCGTGCGGCCCGGGTTCCATCCTCAGCACCACATACAAACAAAGATGTTGTGTCCGCCGAAAAACTAAAAAATAAATATTAAAAAAAATTCTCTCTGTCTCTCACCTCTCTCTTTAAAAAAAAAAAGAAAGATGTTCTATCCTTTCATATAGGGTTGTCCTTTCTTCTGGCAGGAAGATGGGCATCAGTGATTGTCTTGCTCTAATTGAAGTTTAGTTTTTTGCTTTTCTAGCTAAGACTTTGCTCTTACTACTAGCTGAGGCTGTTCTGCAGTCTAAGCTGAAGTCAGGGTGTTCACCCAGGGCCTCCTCTTTGCTGGGACTTTAATTCTTGCCTGTGTCTGCTCAGCTCAGGAGGTTGGTGAGATTTTAGTCCAGTTCCTCAGGCTCCCGGTTTCTGCTTTCTCTGGGTTCCCAGCCTCTCATCCTGGATCAGTCAGTGAGTTGAGGGGAATTTGTAAGTCGACTTAGGCTCCTCCTCTGCAGTTTCATCCTTTCTGAGGTTTTCTTCTCAGATTCTAGCCCCTCTAGGATTTGGACCCCTTCCTTTCTCCTCATGTCAGTGGCCTGTTGACAGCTATCGGGGCTCTAGTGACCCATGCTACGGCCCAGAAAATATCTGAGGGAGAAGCAGGCTGGAGAGTGCAGCGGCTTCCTGTGCTCCTATCACACGTGTTGGCCTTGTCGTCCTGCTTGTCCCACTGGCCCTCCAGTTCTGGATGCCACAGTTGGCTCTATTTTGTACAGGCTTCGTAGCTGTTTCGGGTGGGAGGGTTGGTGCTACAGTAGACACAGTTTCCATGGCACGTTCCCAGGGTTTTCTTCTTTATATTTTGTTATCATTATTTCCATATCTAGTGCTTACAGAAAAAGATGAGATCTATTCCAGAAAGCCTCTGCCGGGAACTCTTCTTCAAGAGGAAGCACTTGAACAATGAACAGAATGACATGGCCTTGGATGAGCACTCTCCGCTGGTCTTCTCTAATAGCTGGTCTTTGGATCTGCACCTGCCAAAGGATGAGGAAGTCACCTTTGATGTGCTTCTGATTTCCCAGGAAAATCCACTAGTCCTGGACACTTTCCTCAGGGTAGTTGAGAATTTAGAAGATGATTCCCCTCTTTCTCAGGGAACTAGATATAAGCTTAAAGGCTATTCTTCCCAAACTGCCCAAACTTTAAAGCAGAACTGGCAAAACTTGGTGGTTTCCCTAAGAAACTCACCATCATGAGGAAGATATTCTTCTTGAATCTTTTTTTTTTCAATTACTTTTAGTTATGTATAGCAATATAATATATTTTGGCAGAATATATATACACAGAATGTACCTTATTCTATTTAGGTTCCCACTCGTGTGGTTGTACATAATATAGAGTTACCCTAGCCATGTATTCAAATACCAGGTTAGGTAAGTTATGGCCAATTAATTTTACTGTCTTTCCTATTCCCCCATTCCCTTTCCTTCATTTCCATTTATCTAATCCAATGAACTTTATTCTTTTCCTCCCCACCCTCCCTTGTTGTGATTCAGCATCCACAAATCAGAGAGAGCATTCGGACATTGGTTTTTTTGGGATTGGCTTATTTCACTTATTGGCTTATTTCACATAATATTTTCCAGTTCCTTCCATTTAACAGCAAATGCCATTATTTCATCCTTCTTTAAGGCTGAGTAATATTCCACTGTGTATATGTCCTACATTTTCTTTTTCTATTCATCTGTTGAAGGACACCTCAGTTGTTTCCATAGCTTGGCTATTGTGAATTGAGCTGCTATAAACATGGATGTGGCTTAGTCACTGTAGTATGTTTTTAAGTCCCTTGGGTATAGACTGAGGAGGAGTGGGATAACAAGGTCAAATAGTGGTTCTATTCCGAGTTTTCTGAGGAATCTCCATACTGCTTTCCATAGTGGTTGCATCATACCTTTCTCTCCACATCCTTGCCAACATCTGTTGTTACTTGTATTCTTGATAATTGCCATTATGACTGGAGTGAGATGAAATCTCAGTGTAGTTTTGATTCACACTTATCTAATTGCTAGAGATGTTGAATATTTTTTTCTTATGTTTGTTGACCAGTTGTATTTCTTTTTCTGTGAAGTGTTTAGTTCCTTTGCCCATTTATTGATTGGATTATTTCCCCCCTGGTGTTATCTGTGTGAGTCTTGATGCCAAAATAATCTCCTTTATGATTCAAGATTGAAACTGTCGTACCTGCATCCTACTGGCTTACAATCTTTGAAGCCACAAGGGACCAGGTGAAGCCCTCTATGTAGTCTGAAGGAGATTGACTGTCTGAGGGAGCAGCATGCCCTTGGGATTTTCAAATGTCTACCAGATGATCAATATAGATTGTTTTTATTAAAATGCCATACAGATGTTAAAAACTTGGTGTTTTAGTCAACTTTTGTGTCACTGTGATAAAATTACCCAACAAGAGCAACTTAAAAGAGGAGAAGTTTATTTGGGGCTCAGGGTTTTGGAGGTCTCAGTCCATAGACATCTGACCCCATTACTCTGGGCCCAAGATGAGGTAGCATATCATGGGAGAATGTCTCAGAAGAGTGAAGCTGTTCAGCTTATGACAGATTCAGGAAGCAGAGAGAGAGATAGAGGAGAGGGCAAGGGAATGTGGGGAAGATGCACCCTTCCAAGTCAGGTACTGAGTTACCAACTTCCTTCTGCCACCGACAGTCACCTCCCAGTGTCATTCACATGAGGAGGGACTGGTTAGGCCACAGCTCTCCCTGATCAATCACTTTACTTCTGAGTATTACTGCACTGGCACAAAAACTTTTGTGGGATACATCACATCCAAACCATAACATTCTGTACCTGACCCCCAACGCTCATGTCCATCTCACAGTGCAAAATTCATTTAATTTTTTTTCCAAGAGTTTCCCTTTCTTAACATTGTAAGAATTACCCCAAAGTCCAAGTCCAAAGTCTCAACTGAAAACTCTTGGTTGTGAGGCCCTGTAAAATCAAAAGCAAGTCACAATCTCTAATATACAATGGCACAGAGTAAACACTGTGACTCCAAAGGGGAGAAATAGGCACAGAGAAATAAGGGGCCAAAGAAAGACCAAAATCCAGCTGAGTTCCTGGAACTCCATCCCTGATGGCTCATCTAAGATACAAGGCTGTGCCATGTGCTCTCCCAAGGGTTTGGGCAGGCCTCCTTCTTTGGTCTTCATGTTGCTCTCTCAGTCTCTCACAATCCAATCACTTTACCCCGAACATTCCTGAGTCAAGACAGGAGGTTTTGTGGGAAACCTTACATACAAACTATAACACTTGACAAAGCCTTACCTGGATAATGGAAGGTGGACTGGGCTACAAAGATATTTTTCATTATAAAGATGATGCTGTTCTCTAATTTTCAAAAATGTTTCTTTGAGATGCTGCAGGTTAAGCAGCTTCACCTGATGTTGGAGAACTTCA